AAGAGTCGGAGGCCGATATGACGAGGCAGATGGGAAGCATGTCGATTGCCGCCTCGGTTGTTGGTGGGGAACCCGAGGACCGTTTCGGCTGAAGAACGCACGGGTGCCGGAGCCGAAGTTCGGGAGGCCGCTAACCCGCCTAAGGCTGGTAGAGGAGGGGGCCAGGGAGCAGGACCCGAAGACCGTTTCGGTCCCGGGGCTGAGGCTCCTAGAAGCCGTACTCCCCCACCTAAGGCAATGGAGGCGCCACGCCCCGCCGCAACTCGGAGCAGCACCCCGCAATCGCGTAACAAAGCCCCCCCAGGCACCGCAGCATCTACGGGGGCGGGTCCTAAACTGGGAAGCGAAGAGGCCACACCCAAGCTTAAGGCTCCGCCTCCGAGCTCGCATCGGGGCCCCGGGGTAGAGGTTCCACTCCCTGCCAAGACTAAGCCCGAGCTGAAGACTCCGCCTCCCGCTTGCTGGCAAAGGAACCCCCCAAGCCAAAAACTCCAGCACCTGCTGAGCTGGAACCGCTAGTCCCCTTCGCAAAGGAACCTCCTAGGCCGAAGGCCCCAGCACCTGCTGAACCACCGGTGGGAGCGAGCGGAGAGGCACGGTCTCTCGCGAAAACTAGCCCGGGTGCCAAAGCTCCACCTCCCCACTTGCTGGGGGGAAGTGCCGCTAGAGCAGAGGCTTCAACTCCCACGGAAGAGTGGGGAGAAGCTCGCGAAGACTCGCGGATGCCACCCAGTCCAACGGGGGGTACGCCAGCTCATGGGTATGCCAAGCCTACTTCGCAGGTACCGCTACCCCGAATGCCGGCTGCCAAGGCACCTAAGGCCGAGCAGGAGCCTGAGTCAGCCCAAGAACCTGTGGCAACTCCACCCAGTCGGCCGGAGAAGATCAAAGCTGAAGAGCCCTCCGAGTCGTCTCGACCTGCGGAAGGTGCCGGTGCTAGCTCAGAAACTGCAGTCCCTCCACCGGCCAAGAAAGCAATGCCCGCTGAACCAGTCAGCTCCAAAGCAGAGAAACCCGAGGACCGTTTCGGTCCCGGGGATCTCGCAGGGGGCTCGGAGGACATGCCTATGCAGCCTAAGGGAGAGGAGGCAACTGAATCTGAGAAGCTGGCTGAGGAGACCCGCCCGGGTACCAGGCCACTAGTGCCTGGGACTGGGGTTAAGCTCACGGCACCGAAAGTCAGCCTGCTGCGAGCTGTTGCAGAGGCGGATGCCAAGTCTTGGAAGGGACTAACCGCTGCTCTCCAGGAGGCCGCAGGCGATGGAGAGACTAAGTCTCAGCTCGTCAACGACTTGGAGCGGCTAGCAACCCAGCGTCGGGAGGCCGCGGCTGCCTCACGAGGAATGCTTGACGCAAAAGTCAAGGACCTTCGAGCCCTCGAAGCCGCGGACGCCCAGTACCTGCAGGAGCTCGACAACCAGGGAGATGTTATGCGGGAGCTGGAAAAGAACAATCCGGTAAGGCCGTCTGTCACCAGCAAGCCGCTCCGGTCAGACCGCCTAACAGCGGCCATCGAGGGAGGCACCAGTATTTGGGTCGCGCGTAAGCAAGAGAAGTCAAGGCGACGTGCCCAGGAGCATCGGCTCCGACTGGAAGGGGAGGCAGCGCAAGCCCGTGTAGCCGGAGAACCGGCAGAAGAGGGAGAACCGACAGGTGAGGGGCTGGACGCGCGAATGCGCGCCGCCGCGACGCGCGAACTGAGCGAGATACCAACCACGCCAGAGCGCACCAGGATCCTGAGGCAACTCAACTGGGGTTATCTGAGGAGAGTTCCGAGGGCCGTTTCGGCCCCGGGACTTCCCTCGAGCCAGCAGTCAAGTTTGCTGAAACCTCGGTGGCCTTGGCTGTGCAACAGGTTGCGGGTTGGAGACGCGAGTCCACGAGGCCTCCTAACCCAGCAACGGAGTCTTACGACTACGTTTGGGAAACCGGGGTTTTCGAAGGCTTCGTGGCCGGGGTTCTCGTCTGCCTTTTGGGGCAGGCTTGTTGGAGGAAATGCCGCAGGTGGGGGCAAAGGCGAGCCTTAGGGCACAACCGTAACACTGAAGGCACGCCCCTAGTAGCGGAAGAACCGCTGGGAAGTCACCGCGCTACGCCACCTCCTCGCCCTGCACCAAAGGCCAAAGCACCCCCTCCGCGGCAGCGTATGATTGCCGACCGGACACTCCCGTCTCAGACTCAGCTAGGAGCGGCGCAGGGAGAAGCCTCCCAAGGGAATCTCTTCAGGCGAAGGGGGGGTGACCTCATAGTGGTAACCCCACGAGGCACTTCCTATCATCGTGCGAATTGCGCGGAGCTGGGTGGCCACGAAACAGCTTTGTTTCGTCCCTGCGTCGTGTGCACACCTACTGAGACCATCCCTATGCCCAGCTCTCGCAATCCAACGCAACCGCATGGTGGGCAGGTCGAGCTTGCTGTGGCTCGTGGGGAAACAGAGTTTCAGTCTCCCACTTGTCCATTGCTCCGCCCTGTTCATCGCAGGGTCCAGCCGTGCCGGGACTGCGGTCCCGAAACCAGTTGGACTTACGCCTTGGCGTTAGGGCGGCGCAGGCATGACGACTCCGACCGAGATACCAATCACGCCATTGCGCATTGGTGTTTGGTGTTTCTAGGAGTGTGCTGGCTGCTGGGTGCCTTCCTAGGTTGCATTGCTCGTGGATCCGAGGGATGCTTCATCCCCGGATCCAAAGAGCAGTTATCCCAGAAAGGAGAGGAAGCTGAAGCCTGCAGGGTGGCAGGAGAGCCTAAGAAAGTCCGGTTTCGGCCAAACGCCGGGAAAGAAGAAGGTGTCGAGGACCCTTCCTTCGAAAGTCTCTCCGGGCCTTTCAGAAGGCAAAAGAATCCTCCTTTTCTGGGAGGTCCCGCCACTGCTAAGAGGCTCTGGGGGACTCGCTCAGCTCAACCGCAACTCCCTCTCCTTAGCAGGAGAGACTTTGAAGCTGCGGCTCTCAAGGCCGCGATGGACCGGCTGGCTTCAGGCACCCAAAAAGCCTACGAGGGCCAGCTCAAATGGTGGAGGCTGTTTTGTGCTAGGAGGGGAGTCGGCTGGCTTTTACAGGGACAAGATCCCCAAGCCGACGAAGACCTCCTGGTAGACTTCCTCCTCCATACTGCTGTCAACGGAGGAAGGGCGCCGGGAACGCTGAAGATGCGACTAGCGGCAATCAAGCCTGCCCATGTTTCGCTGGGGCTGCGAGACCCTCTTGAGCAGAAACCCCGGCTTCTTCTGATCATGGCTGGCTTTAAAAACCGCTATGCCACCCCTTCCCGACGCCTGCCTGTCACCCCCTCTATGTTGCTCTTCCTCTTCGAGCAGCTTTGGAGCAACGACCGTCTCTGGCTCGCCCTTTGCCTTGGGTACTTTTTCTTGTTGCGAGCGTCAGAATTCCTCCCCGTTATGCACCTACCCGGCTCGCGCCACTTGAAAGGAGGAGATTTGGTGTTGCGTAAGGAAGGCAAACCCTGCAACGTCAATTCCCTCAGCCAAGCCGACGAGGTCGTAATACACTTAAGGGGAAGCAAGACGGATCGCTACAACCGCGGCGCCACACGCAACCATTTTTGCGGCGACCCGCCTCTCTGCCCGGTCGATGCGACCATTAGGATGCTCACTGCATATCCTGAAAGGTATTTTGGCATGGAAGAATCTCATCTTCCCCTTTTACGGAATGTAACTAGGGAGAATTTGCAGATGATGATTGCCAAAGCAGCATCCCATCAAGGGATGCAAGGAGCAGTTGGAGCCCACTCCCTCCGCTTTGGAGGAGCCTCAGCGATCTGGGCGGCCTTTCAGAATAGCGCAAAGCTCCAAAGGTTTGGGCGCTGGACATCGGATATCTATCACGAGTACATCTGGGAGGCTCGTGACTCTGCGAAGGGAGTAGCACAGGCAATGGCTAATGTCGACCTCACGCCACCGTAAGCGTGGCCACCCGAGGACCGTTTCGGTCCCGGGTAGGCAGAGGCCGAAGCCTGTGAAAAAAAAAAGGGGGGGGCGCCTACGCTTCCCCCCTCCTTCGAGGCTTTGAGCCGAGGACCGATTCGGTCCCGGCTTCGTTGAAGGGGGGGGTGAGCCCCAAACGGGGCAAAGCACCTTTCAAGTGCACTGCGCGCAAAAAGGACGTTTGCGCACTCGTGCAGCCTGAGAGTAGGTGAGTGAGAGTGAAACCTGTTTAGTACAGCGCAGCGTACGTAGGGTTTCACCTGTCTTCTCACCTCTGCTTTTAGGCTCGAGGTAGCTTAGTTTTTTAGGTAGCCCGCCCACCCAACCCCCTGAGCCCCAAACGGGGCAAAGCACCTNNGAGAGTAGGTGAGTGAGAGTGAAACCCACCGTTTGCTTTCTTCATTCCCTTTACCATTAAGGCTATAGAAGGAAAGATATAGGTGTTCAGGAGTTACAATCTTACAACTAATAAACTGATGGCATCTCTCCTATAATTGATTAACCGCTGGGAAAGGAAAGGCCAACATTAACCGTACCACCTAACCCACAGTGTAATTCCGGAGATTCCATGGGCGGTTTAACTTAATTAAAGTAAAACAGAAATCATCAACTGACTCTCGTTTCATTCATTCCACTTTCACCTCTTGTTTGCGGTCAGATTTAATTAATTCATACGACCTCTTGTTCAATTATAGTTGTATATTTTGGTCTAGTTTTATTCAATTTAAATTAACAAGAAGATAGCGATGAAGAGAGATTGTTTAATGGAAATAAACTGTCACTTGTTTCTGTTCATTATTTTTCCCTACAAACGAACCCTTATATCCTAGAATTACCACTCAGTTGTAAAATCTCAGAAGTTTATTTCATTAAAAAATGCTGCGTTTCGTTCATTTTATTTAAATTAAACGGAACACGCGTTCCCTTTGCTCACTTGTTTCCTTTGTTTAATTTAATTATAATTCTCTTCACCTATATCCTGTTATCCACTTTATGCTGTAGAAATAGAACTAAGATTGTACCAAACGAAATAGTTGTAGCGTCCCCTTCGTGCCAGGCCCGAAGGCTACAGGCGGCCTCGCCCAGGTGGGGGGGGGGGGGGGGGGGGTTTCTCAGTCAAAAAAGGCTCCCCCCGGCACTTTCGGAGTGAGCACTTCGTTGAGAAACCCCCCAGCAGCAGCAGGCTGGAGTACGGGATCCACATCCCCTCCGACAGGCGCGCGCCGGGCTTCTTTTTTTGCGGCTCCAAACCTTCCAAGGGGGACTTGGGGAGAGTCTTGGGCTTTGGGTTTGTGGCTTGGGGCTGAGAAGTTGAGCGTTTTCGTTTTCCGGGTTTGGAAGCAGGGGATGGTCAGAAGGCAGGACAGTTAACCGTTAGGATGAGCAACCACAAGACCTGAAGGTTGCGCTGGAGGCAGGACAGCCCGATCCTTGCTTTTGTAAACCTCCTGCGCCTGGCTGGGCATAAGAGATCACCAATCGGCAGCCAAAGCCCTATAAGACCAAAGATCCTTGAACCGCACTCAGCCCGTGTGTCTTGCAGTGCATCAAGACAGTGTACAGCGTAGAAGTCCAAAAGCATTTCAAACCCCCGTGCAATTCGGGGTTTCGTCGGCATAGAAAGGCTCTTGTGTTAGAATGCTGTTGCAAAGAAACAGGAATCCAAGTCCGCTACCTTCTGCGAGGGCTGCCGGCCACAAGTCGTTATCATGGTTCGGGCATGGATGCTCTACGCGTTCGACGGATGCGCTACTCGTCGAATGCATCAGACCACGGACGTTGTCTCGGCTCGGGAACCGGATGTAGTACTCATCGACTGCATTGGACCACGGATGCTTTCTGCGTGCACAGATGTTCTTCTCACTTTGGCACGCCTACTTTGCAGCTTAAGCGTCAGAACGAGACGGCCAGGGCGACGGGCGGAAACCGGTCTAGAGCCTTCCTTCCTTCTTGTACTGCCCTTCACAACTCCCCGAAAACGCCCCGGTTTTTTTCGAAGCATCCCCCCCCCCCCCCCCAGAGCTCCCAGGAAGCCTTCCCCCCCCTCCCAAAGCTCTTCTCTCCTGCAAGGGGGCTGGAGCTCTTCCCGCGCGCCTTCGCGGCGCTCCAGGCCGCCACTGCTGTGGCCCTGCAGGCGGCGCTGAACGCGGCGCTCCGGGGCCAAGGCGGGGCTCAGAGGAGGGAAAAGGAGGATCTCTAGGAGATCTAGGAAGTATAGAAGTAAGTAGTGTACTATTTGACAAGCAGGTTTTTTCGTTGGGGTGAGTGTCTGTTGGAGTTACTGGTGAGCACGTGCGAGAAGGCACAACACTCCAGACCGGTCGTACGCAACACATGGAATTCAGTATGTAGATGCAGGGATATCTGAGGAAAACGCAGAGCCCACCCCTGCTCCACACCCTTATGCAGAGACATGCGCAGATCTACCTTCGTCCTGCTGGCAAGTCTTCCAAGAGCCTTTGTCTCAGGCTTTGAACGGTCAAACCTGACCGTCGAAGACGCCTCCGTTTCCTCCGGGGCCCCTCCCACGACGCGCCGCTCGGCCTCCTGAAAAGACGTGCCCTTTTTTTTTTGTTTCTGTACAAAGGTGCGGCACACTGTGCTCTCACTATCTCTCACTTCCTTGCAGGAACTAGCTCCACAGCGACCAGCACCACCACAACGACCACCATCTTATGCCCCGGAAATCCTGTGTGCTCCGGTTCTGGCAGCTGCGTCCAGCAGGAGACAGGTGACTGGGCTTGCGCCTCTTGGCGCTTGGATGGGGTTCATGCTAAGAACCATATCATCTGGGGTTTGGCTCATTATTTGGGTCCAAACTCGCGGAGCATGATCAGACACCCAGGAATGTCGAGAGACCTTCTCGGGCGAGGATTGCACGATTCGTGAGTGCCCACCCTGCGCGAACAATGCGAGCTGCCTCGAGGGCCCGCAGGACGGAAAGGTCACGCCATGACCAGTGCCGCTCAAGTGCCGTCGTGGTGGCGTCTTGGCTTCCAGGACCTTGAGGCGGTTTGGGGATGCGATTGCATCGAGCCCTACTATGGGCCTCGCTGTGAAGAGAAGCGCTGCCCCGGAAACTGCACCAACGCCGGTGATTCGATCGCACATGGCCCACATGTGCCTCGAGGTAAAAAGTGTGCTGTTCTCAGGTGACTGCGACACTGCCACGGGCTTGTGCTCCTGCTTTGCAGGGAGTTTGGGCGAGGACTGTGCCCAGCGAGAGGCCCTCGAGCCTCCCCTGTGCCCTTGAGCGCCCAGCCGTGGCACGCTTTAAGACAGGTTCCTCTGACGAACGCCATTGAGATCGCCATTGTGTTCGGCTTGCTGGGCATCTCGGTTGCCACGGCAGAAGCTGGCCTACATTGCTTGAAGACAGTGTAGTGAATAGTCTCTCTCTCTCTCTCTCTCTGTCTGTCTGCTCTGAGGAAGCATAGCCCCTTCTCTTTTCCATTGACCTGCTCTTCCAAAGCTCCCGCAGGTTACGAAGACGAGAACAGGTCAGCACCAGCTTATGATGGCTCGGTGGATCTCTTGTCCCCGGCAGTGCAGGCGTGTCGCTGTAGAAGAAGGGTCACTTCACTGCCGCTTTTTTCGTCGAGTGAAAGCGGGGAGGCCCATCTGCTGCGGACCTGTCCGGGCCTGAGCTTCCTGCCTTTTTTCCCCCTTGTGTCTTGCTGCCCCTCTTTTGGGTGCTATGGCTATGGTGGGTTTTTTTTGCATAGAGGGTGCTTAGACAACTGGCACTTGCCCCCTTGGCGGGCTTGTAGACGCCAGCCCGGAGCAGCGACGGCTGCTCTGCTATGTGAGCAGAGCCGACGTGCGGCGAAGTTTGATGTGGGAACCTGACCCTTGCCAGGCACCGAGGCCCGTGCCGACGCGCGGCTCCTGGTGAAGAGCGAGCCGTGGTCTTAGCGGCTTAGCGCCTGGCAGCAGTCTGATCTGAGCAGCTTTCTATCAGAAAGCGTCGGTGCTCTTTGCCTGCTCGGCCAGGCTCAGCTGCTGGATCGAGAGCCTCTTGGAGCATGGTTTTTTTTTCAAGAAACCCCCCACTCCAAGCTTCAAGATAAGTCTCCAGGCAGGGCCCTCTCCGGCGGCCCCCCTAGACTCGAGGGACCATGGGATTTCCCGTTCTCTGAGGCTTCGCCGAGTTCATGCCTTTGGTCGGAGGCCCCCCCCGGCCTACGTCGCGCGCCCCCTTGTCGCTCGCTCTTCCTCTTTCTTGGGAGGAGCCTTCCCTGTGAATGACTCCGAGATGGTCCAGGAAGCCTTCCAGGACCGGACTCCTGAAAAAACGGAGCGGAGGGGGGGAAGAGAGCATGGGAAAAAGCCTCGACTCGGGGGACGAGCGGGAGCTGCGGCGACCCAGCCCCAAGCCGGAGTGCCTCTACGAGCCCGTCTTTGCGCCACATGCAGCTTTCTGCTGGGGGCAGCTGCAAAGCCCAACTGCTCTCAGGTTTGCTCCAACCTGGGTTTGGCACGGTTGGTTTCTGGAGAAAAACGGGCCCTCTGGGCCTTTGAGGAAGGAGCCTGGACATGGAAGCCCAAAAGATGCGGATTGAACTTCTCGTCTGTTCTATGTTTTTGACGGAAAATCCGCATCATAAGAATCATAAGCGTTTTTTCGTCCCAGCCGGGGCAGAAGAAGAGGTGAGTTGGAACACACTCTTTTGACCCTTCAGCTCGCATCCATGTAGAATCCCACTGCACATGCAACAAGGAGTAGCAGAGCCGAAATGAGACAGAGCGAAGAGAGCTGGAAGAAGGTCATGTTGGAAGATGTTCGATAGATTCAGATCTGATGACTTCCAGGCCTTCATGCACCAGAACGTGGCCAGTTTGAATAGCTTCCTGGCGGAGAGCTCTTTGCCCCCCCTGGCTCGCATATACCCTTCTGTTTCTGCTGGGACCACGAAGGTTATCAGAAGGATGTCCGGACAGCTGGCGAGGACTTTGCCCCTGGGCGGCCAGAGTCCGGTCGCGAAGATGCGGTGACGCGTCGACAGCCCAGGCAGGCCGTGTGATGTTCTCCAGGCTCCGCATGAAGGCGGGCGAAGATGCGACACGCGGCTTGGACGTTTTGAGGTCCGGGGTCGGGCTGTTCTTCTGTGTGCAGGTGAACATGGCGGTGAATGCTGCAAAGGAGCAGAAGGATGTGGTTCGGCAGCGCTGGCAGGCCCCGGCTGTCAGGAGCTCCTTTTCAACATGTCCAGCACTTTGCCTCCAGGACTATGTAGAGTCCTTGAACCAGAGGGCCCCGCCAGAAGCTGGACTGGCGCTGATTTCATGGGGGGTAGAAAGGCACTGCAGTGCACCTCCTTCCTCTTGTCCAACGCACAGCCTGCAAGGACAAGCCATGATGGTGTCCTGGGTGTGGACCAGCATGGCTCTTGAGGAGTCCGTCTTTTCCAGCACAATCCTGGCCTTTTCACTTTCCTTATCCACTTCGATGGTGGCGGTGGCCCTCTTCACCCGCGACATAGTGCTGGCCTCCTATGTCTGCTTGAACATTTTGCTGGTGGTCTCGGTCCTCTCGGGCTTCCTCCTGAGCCTTGGATGCAGAAGGCCCCCTTGTTCGAAAAAGCACCACGGAAAAGCAGCGCGCGCTTTCTGGAAGGAACGTCCTGGGCTACGACTTCGGCGTGGTCGAAGCGATCGGCGCAACGATCTTCGTGGGCCTCAGTGTTGACTATTGCCTCCATCTAGCACACGGACCTCAGGGGCTCTGTGCCGAGAGAGAGACAGCTGAGGTACAGTAGATGGGAAACAAGTATTGAAGACTGCATGCACCTGAGAAGCGAGGATACCACACGGCCAGTGGCCGGCAGGCCAAGGTACGGGTGCACCATGCGCAGCGCGGCGGCACGGGGGGGGCACTGGGTTGCAGTACGTGCTGTGCGCAGACTGAGCCGTCCAGGCTCGTAATGCTGACGCCGACCATACTGGGAGGCTCCAACTCCTGGATGCTGTGAGTCTCACTGTAATCGAGTTACGAAGTTTCTGGCAAAGGCGCCCTGACCACGATTGCCGGCTGCGCGTTCCTACTTCCGTGCCGCATCTTGCTTTTCAGAAGCTTGCCAGAAATGGAATGGTCTCGCATCAGGCTCAAGAGCAGGATGCTGCTAGTGCTGCTGATTGTGATGATCGTTTGTCGTCATCACGTCTCGATCGTTACTTTAGAGGCTTCTTTCGTGATCTGGCTGTTCGTTTTGGTCAAGATTCTGAGTGTTGAGTACCAGCCGAGAATCAGCATGACGTCGCCCTTGATTGTGTTCATGACAAGTTCATGATAGGATGTCGCTCGTTCATGATATTTACGATGTCGGAACACGACAAAAAGCGATCTAAGCCAGGTGCGCATGGCCACTACCGCTACTGCTGCTGCCGCTGCCACTGCTAGCTTTTATCGTGGCAAGGCTTCTGTCGTTTTGTGCTTGGAAATCCGTCGATGTCCACAATCAATCCAGAGCAGTACTCCTTTCTGTACAGCTTGGAAAGGAAAGCTTGGTTGGACCTTGATGCTGAACGCCATCATCGCCATCACGTACACCTTCACGTTCCTTGCGCCACTCCTGATGATAGTCACCCGGCTCGTTGAGACGGGAGCGTGGACAGAAAGGAGGGTTTGAAGCTCTTTTGATTTGCGAAATCTGCTGCCACAACATAGTGCAACTGCATGAACTGAAAGACGTGAATGACGACGCTGAGCCAAAACGCTCCTAGGTTTGGGCTGGAAAAACCTCAAGCTTAAACCCCTTAGTAATAGTAATAGTAGCAAGAATAGTATTAATACAAACATACTCATCACAATAGTAGTAATAATAATTGTAATATGAATAATGTTAATCATAACAATAGTAAGAAGAAGAATACTAACAATAATAGTAATAATAAATGAAGCTGTTTGGGTTTGGTTTGGAAGGCTTCAAAGAGTACAGGTAGGCTCCTGTCTTCCTTCCCTCTCCACTCCGAAAGGGAAAAGGCCACGAGGTTGAGGAATCCAACAAGCGCCCTTCCGGACCGGAGCATCTCTCGCTTAAGGCCGGCCCGGTCAAGAGGAGTCCAGGCGCCGTGCGTGCAGGCCCAGGTTTTGTCATTTTCACGGCTTGTTTGTGTGTGTGGGTGTGTTTTTTTTTTGTTGGGTTGGGGGGAGGGGGGGGGGTGGGGTGCCGCGGAATTTAAGTTTCTAGGGGTTGAAAGGCTGAATCTCAATAACAAGCCCTTCGCGACAAAGCATCTTTCTCTCT